AATAACTGAACCAGGCAGTTATCTAGCTGGTGCTGCCACTTCTACTTCAACAGATGATGCTGTCCTGAACGCCCAGTTCCAAACTCGCCGCACGGCATCAAGTGCAAAGCGAGTGAATCACCATGATCAGGATGCCCAAACCCGCCCTTGCGCTGCTGTCGCTCTTCTCGATAGCATCCGCGGCGCCTCTGGCAACTTGCCCAGGATACCGAGCCACCAACGCCCGATCCGGGCCTTCGTATCTCGTCGCTGACCTAACTCTCGCCGGCACCAACTGCAATCTCTATAGCGAAGACATCACCAACTTGCGCCTGACAGTGGAATACCAGACCAGTAAGATCATTGTCTACCTTCTTTCTCTTTGCTTCCAGTCACCGTAACCTCGATGCTTCGACCCGGACCCACATCTAACCACTACACACTTGCAGACACCCGCCTACACGTCTTGATCGCAGACCGCGAGCAAAACGTCTACCAGATCCAAGACAACATCCTACCACGGCCTCTCTCACAAAATGCCTCCTCCCAAACCGCCGATCTTCGCTTTACCTACGAAGCCTACCCCTTCTCCTTCAAGGTTACACGCGCCAGCACCGGCGACGTCCTTTTCGATACTTCTCCATCGCCATTGATCTTTGAGACGCAATACCTCCGCTTACGCACGCGCCTGCCTCCGAACCCGAATCTGTACGGGCTGGGAGAACACTCGGATTCTTTCCGGTTGGCGACAAACGGGTACAAGAGAACGTTGTGGAACTCTGAGGCGCCGTACATACCGCAGAACCAGAACTTGTACGGGAGTCATCCTGTTTACTTTGAGCACCGCGGTGGCAATGGTACGGGAGGGACGCATGGAGTTTTCTTGAGAAGTGCCGCGGGAATGGACGTTGTAATTGGGAAGAGTGATGCCGGGGAGCAATACCTCGAGTATAACACCATTGGGGGAGTGCTTGACTTTTATTTCCTGGCCGGACCGGGTCCAGACGAAGTGAGCAAGCAGTATGCCGAAGTTGTTGGTCTCCCGGCAATGATGCCGTATTGGTCGCTGGGATTTCACCAGTGTAAATACGGCTGGCCGGATCTGGGGCATGTCAAGCAGGTTGTCAAGAACTATAGCGATGCGGGAATTCCGTTGGAGGCGCTTTGGGATGATATCGATTATATGGACAACAAGCTGGATTTTAGTACGGATCCAGTGCGGTATCCTCATGACCAGCTGAAGGGGTTTGTGGACGAACTGCACGGGAAAGATATGCGGTATGTGCAGATTCTGGATCCGGGAATCAGGTACAAGAGCGACTATGGCCCGTTCACCAGGGGAGCCGAGATGGATGTGTTTCTCAAGGCGGCTGATGGGTCCTGGTATCGTGGTCTGCAGTGGCCTGGGGAAGTGGTCTGGCCGGATTGGATTGCGCCGCAGACAAAGGAGTGGTGGACAACGGAGATTCTGACGTTTTATGATCCAAATAACGGGATTAATGCGGATGGGCTGTGGGTTGACATGAATGAGGCGAGCAACATGTGTGCGGACACTACTTGTCTCTCTTCAGCTCAGAAAACTCGCTCCCTGCCTCAGTCCCTAATCGGCAAAATCCATCCACGCGCCCCAGGCGATGGACAACACCTCGGCCTCCCCAACCGCGACCTCTTCACCCCCAAGTACCAGATAGCGAACCACTACCCCGCCCTTTCCAGCCGCACTCTGTTCACCAACATCACCAACTCGGATGGCTCAACGCAGTACGACACCCATAATCTCTACGCCCTCACCATGTCCTCCGTCTCTCGCTCCGCCCTCATCTCCCGCTCACCCACCAAACGTCCCTTCCTCCTCACCCGTTCCACCTTTTCGGGATCCTCCCGCTTCGCCGCTCACTGGTTTGGCGACAACTTTTCTTCCTGGGCCGACTACCGCGCCTCAATCCGGCAGCTCCTCAGCTTCAGCGCCATACACAACTACCCCATGGTGGGCTCCGACGTCTGTGGCTTCAACGGCCAGGCCCAAGAGAACATGTGTGCACGCTGGGCAGTTCTCGGCGCTTGGCAGCCCTTTTACCGCAACCACGCCGACATTTCCGCTCCCGACCAGGAATTCTACCGGTGGCCTTCTGTCGCCGCTGCCGCCCGCAAAGCGATTAGTGTCAGGTATCGACTGCTGGATTACATTTACACCGGCCTTTACTACGCCAGCAAAACGGGTGAACCGGCACTAGTCAAACCGCTCTGGTTCCTCTTCCCCTCCGACCCGGCAACATACGGCATCGACACGCAATTCTTCCTCGGGGACGCACTGCTTTTGTCGCCCGTGGTGGAAGACGACGCCCAATCCGTCACTTTTTACTTGCCCCAAGGGAAATGGTACGATTTCTTTACGCATCACCGGATTGATCAGACTTCCGCTGGTGGCCGAACCGTTACGGTCTCGGGAGTAGGTTGGGATCAGATCCCCGTGTATATTCGTGGCGGAAGTATCCTGGCCCTTCGTCTTTCTGACACTTCCTTCACGACCGGACAGGCAATGACCACTGCTGAAGTCCGCACGCGCAACTTTGAGGTCATTATCGCCCCTGATCAGAACGGCAAAGCCAAGGGGAGACTGTACCTGGATGATGGCGAGAGCTTGGATTCGAGTGGGAAGGAGAGTGAGATTGAGTTTACCTGGGATGGGTCAAAGTTAGAGGTCAAGGGGACGTTTGGGTATGATACGAAGGGGGTGGTGGTGCAGAGGATAGTACTTTTGGATGATGGGGTTAGTGGGAATGGGCAGAGGGAGGTGAGTGGGAGGTGGCCGTTGACGGGGGGTTTTACGACGAATCTTTATATATAGGACGGATGGTATGATGGGGTGGGAAATACACCTATCTGGTGAAAGGGTGCTGTCTTTTTTGTTGCGTTGAGGGTCAAGTCGAGGGTGAAATCGTTGTTCTTTTCCGGTGGAAGCACGGTTGATTGTCGCATCACTCTGCTGAAGTAAATTATATCCGTACCTATACAGTGCTTCTCGAGTATACCTTATTCTTCTGGTTCTTTGTCCTTAAGACTCCTCCATTCATGGTACACGTCTGCCAGTAGTGCTTTTGGGTTGTTTTTTTTGCTTATTCACAAACCTATGGTAGGTCCCTGTAGGTACACTAGTATTCGGCCCTTGTTTTCGGATTCCTCCTTTCTCCAACTCACTTGTTCTTTCCCCCACCAAGTTTCGAGCTAATTTCTGCGTCCGTGCAACAAATGGAAAAGTGAGATGAAAGAGCAGAAAAATACACAAGATCGAGAAAATGAAAAGACGATTTCAATGACATTGAAACAGGTGGGGTAAACAACAAGAAAAAAAATAAGAAAAAAAAAAAACAGCTAAAAAAAAAGCCACGACTGACGTTGACGATTACACTGAGCTCTCTACCTCATGCTTTGGCTTTCCATCCACCTTTCTCGCTGTATAAAACACCTTTTATCGAGGCAAATGAAGATACAGGTATGATGATTGCTGAATGATGAAGACTGGGACATGGAATGGGACAAAACGAGTCCTAGAACAACGAAAAAAAAAAAAAAAATGAACGCGATCTACTTGTACACAATAAGAACTTGGCCCCCCACGCACCTGGCTATCTCCTACGCTCCGCACCCATCATTTCGTCTTCTCACTTTCCCACAGTGGATAGCGGGACGGTCCGGCCCGTTTTTAGCTTCGAGTCTTCAAAAGCAAACGAGTGTATCCCTTGTTCGGTCTGCAACCTTCGCTCGGTCTTCGCATTCTGTTACAAACTGAGAGACCTCTACCAACAACACCAACGGCAAAACATCCACAATCATCCCAGCGGCGTTCGGGCTTCTCAGCAGGTTGGTGAGTAGATTGATGCGTGTAAGGGCGGGAGGATAGAAGCCCTTCCTGATATTGATGTTCTATTGCTGATGTTCTTTCGCCATGCGTGAAGAGAGACTCGCTTTGGGAAATCTGGCGTCGACCGTGCTGCTCCCCAGGGGCTTGGTAGGATTGCTGGCGGCTGTGGGGAGGGGAGGAGTTGGAGGAGTCGGACGAACATGTGATCTCGCTGCTGTCAGCGGGGGAATACGGGGCCTCCTACACGAGTGGTTGGCGGTTACGGTAAGCCTGTCGATTTCCAGGCTCTTGGTCGTTGTGGTATGAAGCCTGGTGATAGGGTTGAAGGTCACGGTCAGAGGGTTCACGAGTGGACTCATAAGTACGAGGGCGGACAATGGAGAGTCCCATTTTTTTGTTGTTGAAGGACTTGGTCCCAGTCAACCGGAAGAAGCTCCAGAGGTCTCAGATCGGGGAGTGACTGAGACAGTGGCGGTGGACGAGGTGCCGTCGGCACGAGAATAACAGGAACATATGGTCCCGGAGTGATGGGATGAGGCCAAGGAGGGCTGTTGTTGGGAGACTTTTTGCGGGGCTGAGGAATCGAACGTGACGTATCAGATTCCGGAATTAATACGCTGTATGTTGATATTACGTCGCTGGTAAAGGAGTGGGAGAATGGGCGTGCTTGTCTATATGCTGGATTTCAAGACAAAAGTGTGTGAAGGAACAATGTCGAAAGCCAATATGTGAAGATGAACCAAAGCGAGTTGGTTGAATTGGAGTAGAGACAAAGAACTGAAGTAGACCGCGGGCCACTGTGGCTCCAATCGAATCAACAGTATTGCAACTGCCAACCTTCGGTCCTTCCTCACGTCGGGTAGGTAGTACATCGCCATCAGCACTCTTTCCCATCGAGGACCCAAGCAGCATCCCAAGCACAGTCGCCGTCCCAACGAGGCACTTTCCCACTATCAGCTTCCATCAAATCCACCACGTCTTCCTGTATCATACTTCTGCCTTCTCCTCTTCTTGTTTCATTGATTCTAGGCTCCCAATCACCCGGCTTCCATAGACACTACGGCATGGGAAGTGAGGTCCGTGGGAAAAGGAACATCGCTTCTTATACTTTGCGACTAATGCATAGTATATACCTACGGGTTCCCGTTAATCTCTCTGTCGGATAGCAGCAACTTGGTATTTTGACGACTGGAAGAGACAGGCACATCCTTTGTTCGTAGCATCGTCAAACAAGCAAAGTACAAACTCCACCTGAACTTTCGACAACAATCTGTCCTGATGCCAACATAGGCTGGTTTTGGCCCACCATTGAACCTTTGCAGTTATGTCATCGAGACCAACCCGGATCCGAACTCCACATCACCACCACAAGCACGCAAACCATCTACATCCCCTTGTGCTCGATGCTCAAGCAGTGACAGCAGCGGGATTAACCTCCACCATAACCACCGCATCCACCCCCATCATCCCCGCCTCCGACATGACTGCCTCAAACTTGAGCTGCGCACTCGACACGTTCTCGGGCGCCGCCCAGTAAACCGTATTCGGTCCCCACCAGCCGATCCCTCCCTGCCCTGCATCCGCAGGATCCCTCGTATAAATCGGCAAGTTATTCACCATCAGCCCCACGAACCCAATACCGAACGCATCAAAGTACGTGGAGAAGCTAATCAAGTACTTTCGTCCCGGAATGACCGACACCGTTGGGGATATAAGGCGGGCAGAGACAAGCAACTCCTGATTTGCAGGATTTGGTTTCTGGGGAGAAACAACGCGCCAGGCGTGCGAACCGAAGCGGTAGTCCGGGTTGACTTGCCCGGAAAGGGGCAAGGTGACGACGCCGGCGGTGGCACCGGGGTCGGGGACTTGTTGCGTCCAGGAACCTAGACCGTTCTCGAACTCGCCGCCGGGAAGGATACCGAGAGGTGGAGGGGTTGATCCGGAATAGGCCGAGACGGGGGCGAAAGTGACGGTGTCGAGGAAAGACGGAGGACCGATCCACTCGATACGAATCTCAGCGGTGGTTTCAGACGCAAGAGAACGCCAGGGGGACTGCGTGAAGCGCCACTTTTCGCGACCCGGGCTGTCGTTGGCGTCGATGGTTAGGCCTGCACGCCCGTTGATCTGGACGCCGATAAAGCCGGTTGAGCCGGTGCCGCCGTTTGCGTTATTGGGGAAGAAGGTGGCGAGGGTGAGTTTGTAGTCGGTGTTTGGGGTAATCGGGAGTGGAGGACTAATGATGCGCGCATTGGTGCAGACTCCAGAGCAGGTAGATGGGCCAGTGAGAGAAGCGCGAAGAGAGCGGTTACCGGTGAAGCTGTTGATCGTGGTGGTGGAGAGGGAGAAAGAGGGATCGAGGATGTGGACGGTCCAGGGGGGAGAAGGGGACGGGCATTCGAAGTCACCGTAGACTAGGCCGCCGTTGGAAGGGGTAGCCGAGGGACAGGCGGTTACGGTAGCGGTGGTGGTGGTGGTGGTGGAAGAGCAGGTTGGGCCACATTTGCAAGCGGAGATGTAGCGATCGGGAGTCGAGCCACAGGCGTTGGTGGCTCGGGTGGGATAGTTGGTTACGGTGGTGCCGGAGGCGGTTATGGTTGCGCAGAACGCCGAGGCTACGGAGACGGCGGATGGGGATGGACAGGGGAAGAGGGCGCGATAGCAGCTGAGTACCTCTATGTTAGCTCGAGGGAAACTTGGAGAGAAGGAGTACTTACTTGTCGGCATTACATTTGGGAGGACCCCCTGTTGTGGTGGTCCCAAGGACGAGGAGTCCCTGGGCCAGGAAGAAGAAGAGCTTCAGCAGATCTTTCATGGTCTCTTTTTCGCCAATGTCTTGACAGGAGAGCTGGTGATGTCGTTAATGTTCAGAAGTTCCCACCTCCTCACAGCCCCAACCGACATCTTTATATCCCTTCTTGACCCCTCAACCCCCTCCTTGACTTCTCTCTGGAAGAAATACCGCACCGTCAGCGGATGGACATTCAGCCGTCTCATGTTCCTATTTTGGTGTCGAGGACCAAAAATAATGTGAAAGCAGGACGATGGCTTGCAGACACGATAATCCGACTGCCGTGTTTGAGGCACGGCGAAGCTTTTAGACTGGTTGCTGCTAGCCAATATTCGCTTGACAGCTCCGAAACCCGAGCGCGGCTGAGTCTGCTGAGGTGGTTTGGCAAGCCACGTGGGATGAGTGCCGTGTCAGCATGACCGGGTGGCTTCCACGGTTAGGTAATCTTCGCGGGGTGCCTCGGAGGGTCCCATATCCATGGTGATGGCTGGTGATGGCGGTCCAAAACAAAGTGATGCTTCGAAGTCGCAGTCATATCGTTGAAGCTGGCTGGGCATCCTGACTAGGGAACTTGAACCCGGTTCCAGGGACTGTCCACAATGGACGAGGTATTGCTAGTGCCATGCTCTACTCAATGACAATGGGTTTTGAGGTTCATATTCATGCTAGGCAATGAAAGAGTCAACAACTGTGTCTGGTACGTGCCCGGGTGTAGGTGATACGCCGAGGACTTGGCTCTACTGAAAAGGGCTCTTCGCCGGCGTGAACCAGACCCGGATGGTGGCACCTTTGGTGAGCAGCATGCCTTCTAGGGACCAGGCTGAGACAGACAGGGAAGCGCAATGTCTTGTTTGTAGTTGTTGGCGACGAAGGCACGGAAGGGTGACGGGCCGTTTGCTCGGTAGGTAGTACCTAGGTACCTATATGCACGACGCTTTCCGTTCGTTTCCCGTGGCTGGTCAGGTGACGACACTTGTGACCGTAACGTACTGTAAGTATGCCGCTTCCAACTCCTTCCACTTTCCACCAGCGAATCTTTCACTTTCCAAAGATTCCAAGCACCCAGAGCTCGACAGCTTTTCCCTTCAGCCTCCATTAGCCCAATCAGGGAGACATCAGCACGCGTCGCCTGTCGACCATGCGGATTGCCATCTCTAGTTATCCATCATTTGCCAAGGTGTCGGAGCAACGTCACCCTTTCGCGAGCCGAGAGAGCTTCCTCCTGCTCGATGGGATCCAACGCGAACGAGGAACTTACGAGACGACACGTATGTATAGAAGCCTTCACAAGGAGCCTTTCGTCCACATCATGCGATGGCCATAACCGAACGAGGAATGAAGCATACCAAGAGAACCGAGTTACAGGCAGGGACAAATACGAGGCTGATTCCAAGGCTCCACGATTGTTCTCTGCCCGGCGAACAACAGGGAATTGGCGGAGGAAAGAGGAGGAAGAGGGCGGCTGGGGCTCTTGACTCTTCCCAGCGTTCCGATATTTCCCAACAGAGATTCGTTCCCGATGCCCAGCCAGGAAGGACGGATAAGTGCCTCCAGTGAAAATAAGCTTAGTTCTACCAAGGCTTTGTGGGAGCGTGGAAACACGGCAAGTATGCAAGACATTCCAAGCAAAATCTCCCGCTTCTGTCGCACAGCAGGCAAGTCTCAAACCCTTTGTCGTGCTAGCAAGTCAAGCCCGAATCCCGCGACTGTTCGAGACAGGCTTCTCTCCGAGACACTAACACCGACATGCGCTGTGTGTCTCCTAGTCATCCGTCAAGACTTCCCCGGAAGGGAAAACCGGCGACATCGGAAGAGGGAGTGTGTACGATCCGACCAACCCCGGACCCCGACATCTCAAACAGCAGCCTCCATCAGCCACAAGACACGTCTCATAACTCCGCGATATGTCCCAAAATGCCTGGTTCTGCAGCCTCTCTTGCGACCCTCGGACTTCCATACTCGATCGATAACTTGCAGCATAAAAACTGAGCAGGACATAACGAGAAGACTGGGAAACTAGGATCGACAGGCACAAAGGCTGTGGCACATGCCCTGTCGTATCGTCGACAAAGCTTTCTTCGGTCTGTTTGCGACCAAAGCTGTAGTGGCAGGTGACCTGTTCAAGCAACCTGCCATGCCTCGTATTTCTGTCCTTCCAATTGATTATCACAGGCCGTTGATAGGGAGCTGTGACAGCAAATTGTCCCATCAGCTCAAACTCACAGCCCCTTTCTGTAGTCCAGTGACTCGCTGGGGATCTGTCTCTCCTTTCCTCTTTTGTTCATATGTCAGCTCGCTTTCAGGCCATTTGGATTCCGTTACAACACCCGCCAAGTAGAAAACAAACTTTTCTACAACTCCGCTCAGTCTGCCTCAAAGTGTCAGAAGGCTTGCCAGTCCAATATTACGCAGGAGGTTCGCATACCTTGGCTGTCCCGACCGGCCAGTCACTGCCGCGGTTCCTCATGCGGGTCGCCATACAAGCGTTGGCCCAAACCCGAGCTGCAGGAACCATGTCCCCAAGGTCGGGACTCATCGGGAGTTGAAGCGGCTACTGACATGGCTCGCCATTCCAGTTGAGGAGAAGCAGGCCGAAATTCACTGATGGCCATGCGATGCGAGGGACTATTCTGTTGTAACATGGACCGTTGTTGTTTACCTACCAAGTCCGATATCGACCTTACCCCCTATCGTCGCGTTTTGGATCTTCACGAGATTGTCACCTCATTCGAACGTCCCATTGGCCGATGATGAATGTCTCAATTCCCTGGAGATTTTAGTTCGACTTCATCATCTAGACCCTACTCTCGAATAGTTCACGGCTGGAGTTCGGCGGTCCGGTCTTCATGACGAAGAAGTAATGGAGCGGCTTCGTCATCGGACATGCTTCACCATCAGTCATCCAACATGCTTATACATGGACTGAATACTGAGGAGAGTGGTGTATACGACGGCAGCAAGATAGACCATCGCCAACAAGAGCAAACCATCTTGATGCTTGAGCTACCCACTTCCTTCACGTCGTGAAATTGGCCAGTGTCACTGACCGCCACATGGTGTTGTCGTGACACCATGAATGCACCAAGCCGTGAGCTGTATCGCGAACCCACCTTGCCATTTTCAAGCCATTTCACTGTTTGGTATATGATGTTCGACGCCCTCGAGAGCAGAATGATCGTAGTGCCTGTCAACTACAGCTCACCAGCCCAACTGCCCTGTTCTAGGTCTTTGTCAATCGCCTTATTGTGCCTCTCGGGATTGCCTCAACACCATGTTCAAACCTCTTGGCGGACTCCTATGGAGTCTACTTCTGAGCAGTCTCGCCCATGGTAGTCCACTAGCAGAGTCCCAACCACACGTCCTGGGGGCTAGGCAGTCATGCAACACCGCCTCCAACAGACAATGCTGGACGAGCTCCTTCAATATCACCACGGACTATGAAGCACATGTGCCCGAGACCGGTGTTACGAGACAAGTAAGCCCGGGTCTCGTTTGGCGGCAAAGCTGGCATGGCTGACAAGAGCAGTATACCTTGACCTTGACCGAACAAAGCACTTGGAGAGGGGGTGATGGGCGGTTGAAGTACAGTGCAATGCTTGTCAATGGTGAGTCTCAATTAGAGCGCTGGAAATAAGAATCAAGCTAACATGATCCAGGCCAATTTCCAGGTATGTGAACGATGACATATCGCGCGATGTTGCCATACTTACAATCAACTCCAAACATTGAAGGTCCAACCATTAGCGCAAGTGAGTACATCCTTTTTTCTCCAGGCCATGACGAGCCACGTACTGACATTAGCCAGACTGGGGCGACCGACTCCAGATCACCGTCATCAACAATATGAGATCCAACGGGTAGGGCTCCTCCACATACCCCAGCAGACAACGTCTAACCTAACCAGCACCTCGATCCACTATCACGGCCTTCGCATGCTCAACGCCAACACTCAAGACGGTGTCAACGGGGTTACCGAATGCCCCATTCCTCCTGGAAGCAGAAAGACCTACACATTCCTCGCCAACCAGTACGGCACAGCTTGGTATGTCTACTCCCCAAGACATATCAATGTCTGCTAACAGACCAGGTACCATTCTCACTTCCCGCTCCAGTACGGAAACGGTGTTCTTGGACCCATCGTCATCAAGGGACCCGCATCCGCCGACTACGACACCGATCTTGGACCACTCGTTCTCTCGGACTGGTACTATGGTTCCGTTTTCGAGATTGCCCACCGCGTCAACAATCCCAGCAATCCCTTCATTCCCAACTTTCCCGGCTCCCCTCCTGCCAGCGACAATGTTCTCTTCAATGGCCGTAACATCAACCCCGACGGCTCCGGTGGTACCTACACCCGCAAGACGCTGACCAAGGGCAAGAAACACCTCCTTCGACTCATCAACACTTCCCTCCAAAACGCCTTCACCGTCAGTCTTGTAGGGCACACCTTCCAAGTTGTTGCCACCGACATGGTCCCCATCAAGCCCATCACGCGCAACCATCTCTTCCTCGGCATTGGCCAGCGCTACGACGTCATCATCAATGCCAACCAGCCGACTGCCAACTACTGGTTCAACGCGACCTTCTCCGCCCTACCCTGCGGCCAATCCGACAACCCTTACCCAGCCGCCATCTTCTCCTACTCCGGCGCCTCCTCCGCCTCCCTGCCCACACAACGCGGCGTCGCCCCTCCAGACTCCCGCTGCGCCGCACCCGAACGAGATTACTCGCCTATCATCTCCCGTTCCGCGGACGTCAACTCCTTCGCCCCCACCACATCCCACACCCTCAATGTTGATTTGACGATAGACAACTCCCAAGCCCGCGTCTTCTGGCCCGTCAACAACTCGCCCCTGCGCGTCAACTGGCAGGAACCCACGCTGCGCTACGTAGCGAACAACACTCTCTCCTCTGTCCCGCGCTCTCGCAACTTGATCCAAATCCCCGGGTCTAATACCTTGACGTACTTTTTGTTGCAAAATAACTCGCCCATCCCGCATCCTATCCACCTCCATGGCCACGACGTCATGATCCTCGGTAGCTCCCCGCCCCTAGCCGATCCGCTGGCGGAGACGCAGATAAGGGAGTATAACCCCAATACGGATAAGTCCACCTTGAAGGGAAACAATCCCCCGAGGAGAGACACTACAATGTTGCCGGCTTGGGGATGGTTGCTGGTGGCTTGGAGGACGAACAATCCTGGGGTGTGGCTGTTTCACTGTCATGTGGGGTGGCATGTTAGTCAGGGGCTGGGGGTGCAGGTGTTGGAGAGGCTGGATGCTTTGAGGGATGGGGGTGGGGGAAGTTTGGGGACGGTTGAACAGAATTGTGGGAATTGGGCGGGTTGGTACCCGGGAAGTACGTGGAAGCAGGATGATGCTGGGTTGTAGTCTTGAGGTCAAGAGAGGGGGTAAGAGAAGAGGTGGAGGGGATAAGGGAAACATTTGGAGGATATAATGAGAAACTGGAGCGACTAGAGAGAGTACTCAGGGGCTTACTTTTCATATGGGTATTGGTAATCAGTTGTTATCTTCGAGTGTCTTGTACGAGTTGGTGTCCCTGGCGATTGGTGTGACAACCCTAACCCTGTCTTGAAGGAAGGCGTCGTTGACCACAGACATGGAGGTGATGATATGACACCTTCAGGGATCAGAGGCAACCGACCAATAGGCGCGACAACCGATGTAGGATCACGTATTCAAAGGGTTATCTTATAGCCGCTGTCTCTTTGGGGCTGTGCCGCACATGGGCAGTCGCACTATCACCACGACATCTTCGATTCGGCGTTATGCGAGGTGCTTAGTACACTCCAGTTTCCAGGCAACCACCACGAAATGGAACAAGGACCTGAGGTTTATAAGCAACTGATAAGGCCGGGACAGGGACAGGGACATAAGAAGACACAACTTCCCATCGGATCCTAATATCCAAGTCCAGTCTCCAAACCAAAACCTTTCTTCATCCCTCAACACCATGACCACCCTCACCGGCAAAACCATCCTCATAACCGGCGGCACCCGCGGCCTCGGCGCCGTCACCGCTCTCGCCCTTGCCCGCCTCGGTCCACACAAGATCTACATAACCGGCCGGCCCTCCTCTTCCGCCACCGCAGACACACTCATCTCCAAAATCCGCTCAGAAGCCGAGTCCAACCCTAACGGCAACAACATCTGCACAAACATCACCTTCCTCCCCACCGACAACGCCTCCCTCGCTTCCGTCTCCGCCACCGCTCAAAAGCTGCTAGAAACCGAAGAGAAAATCGACATTCTCATCTGCAACGCCGGCATCGCCGCCATCCCCCTGGGAAAATCAGAAGATGGCTACGAGATCCAGTTCGCTACCAACGTCCTCGGCCACGCTCTACTCATTCGCAAACTCTTGCCTCTGTTACGCAAGGATACCTCTAGGGGTGCAAGAATCATCAGCCTAGGCTCCTACGGCTACCGCATGGCGAAAACCGTCGATCTCGAGCGCGTGTCTGGAGATGGTTTAGCTAAGGACAAGGATGATTTCTTGGGCTATCAAAGATGGCGGCGGTATACAGAGTCGAAATTGGCTAATACGCTGTACACTTCTCAGCTGGCGAAGCAGTACCCGGAGATTGTTTCGGTGACGGTCACGCCGGGGTTTGTGGAGAGTGATATGGTCAAGAACTTTGGCTTTGTGGATCATTGGATGACCAAGTTGGGAGCTAAATTGGCCCGGGGGCAGAAGGGAATGGTGACGGTGGAAGAGGGGGCGGAAAATACTGTTTGGGCTGCTACCGTGGAAGCAAAGGAGTTGGTGAATGGGGGGTTGTATGATCCTGTTGGGAAGAGGGTGCCTGAGGGGGAGTTGACCGCCGCGGCGAGGGATGAGGCTTTGGCTAAGAGGCTTTGGGAGTGGACAGAGGCGGAGTTGGGGAGGTGGTTGTAAGGGGTGGGGGATGAGTAAGAGACGGAGGGCGGGAACTTGGGGGAGGGGGGTGGGGGAGCCTACCTAATAGATTCAATAGAGGTCCTAGAGGTATCTTGATAACACGCATCAAATTGTTACTTTCTTGCTGTCAGCATTACTCACTCCCTTCCCAATAACCCTCCCACATCTCTCATGTCAGGGAAATAACCACCCGTCTCATTCTTCCCCTTTCTCTCCATCCTATTCACTCCTTCCTTGGACAACAAATCCCCAACTGGCTGTCCTAGTCCTCCTTGTCCGACCTGTCCAGCAACGAGGTTATGTACCCCGTCTTGAAGGGTGTCTACCTGTTCGATGTTGGTGACCTTGGTCTTGGAGAGTGTGTCTGTCGACGAAAGACGAAGTCAGTCTCATGGGCCTCGGTTCAACATGACTGGGAATCATCAAAGAAGGAGCGGCACAAACCCTTGGTGGCATAACTCGCTTTGTTGTCTTTGGTGAAGTAGCGAAGGTAGAGATCTTCTAGCCATGGAACCCAGGACTCGTATTGGGCGTTGTACTGGGTCTTGGCCCATTCGGACCAGGTGGGCTTTTGGTCCTTGGTGATTTGGTTCTGCTCTTCATGTTGAGCGGACATCTTGTTGTTTGGATTGCTTTTGCCTTCAGTTGACGGTTCGTTGTTTCCTTGCAAGATCTGATAATGTGGGGGTTCTGGTGTTGAGAACGGAAGCTACGTTAGTGTCGCAAAATCTTCCTCCAGTCTGTTACTCTCATGACTCAAGCTTGGAAGGGAGACTGCTCCAGCCCTTCATATCTGTTTTTTCATCACCATCACCTTCGTGGCACAGGACTTCACTTTCCTTGATGGCACTTCAACATTTTCATTGACATACTCGCAAATCTTGTTGCAAAATGCCCGTAATGGAGGGTATACGTCATACCCGGATGTCGCCAAAATTCCCTGTTCCGGACGTCAACTTCAAGCAATCACGACCAACAAAGAGGAAGCCGCAGATGACCGCCAATCCTGGAGGTTGACGGTTTCGCCTGTGTAACACACCCCTCACCAGAGGTATGGTCCCCGATGTCTTCGACCAATGGCACCAGTATCGTCAACACCATGCCAAATTTGGCGAAAGAGGATGGTCACGCTCAAAACACGGGCACTCATTGATCCAGGTAAGCAAGTCATCTCGTGACACAATGTCAATGTCCTATGTCATGCCTTTCCGTTGTTCCATCCAGTCTCATGGAGAACCCAAAGCTGACAAAGCGTCACCAGACAGTATGGTTTCCATGCGATCCTTGAACTCTCGATATAGGTATATCGACCTAGCGTATTAGCCAAATCTCCCAGTTCAAGTGCTATCAGGTAGCGAAGTCTCTCCAGCACAACCTCAGCCGTCCTACTTCCTGTCTCTGTCCTCCTTCTTTGAACGGCCGCCACTTGCACTCTGATCTTCTCCTCCTTTTCCTAGCTTCTTCTGTTCTTCTTTGACAGCCCATGAACGCAGTCGTCCAGCCCATACTCCAAGCATGGTGTTATCTCTCATCGGCGAAGCCCTGGCTATTGTCTCAGATCTCTGATCTTCCACTTCGGCATCCTCCTCCTTTTCGTCGTTGGTATCCCGCTTCCTCTTCACAAGGGAGATAGTGTTTCCAGCGCCGCCGAGCTGGGCGAGCGAGTTCATCTCACGTGCGAGCGTAGAAACTCTATTAGTACAACGGCGATTGATAGAGGCCGGGATTGATGCGGATGCTGCAATCGGACAGTGAAGACTTCAGTGACTGCCAGCTGCGATGGGGAGTGGTAGTGTTGGGCAAAGTACATGTATACCTAACATACTTCTAGGTATAGTACAAATTACAACCAGATGACGGTACATAGTAGGCTAGCTGCTCAATCTAAATCCTCCATATCGTCCAATCGTTCCAGCTCCATCTCGTCCAATCGTTCTAGCTGCCTCCGGAGCTCCCGCGCCAGTGTGAGAACTACCCTCTTTAGATGGTCCGTGAGATAATTCATTATGGTCTGGAACCACTCCTCCTCCCAGAGCTCCATCAACTCCAGCCGCCGTAATTCATCCAACTTCATGTTGCGCACGGCCTCTTTGTATTCCCGCCGGCGCTGTTTTTGGTACCAGACAGGCCAGTAGGTACGCGATCGCCTTCTGTCGGACCGCTTCGAAGTCGAACGAAAAGCTTTCACCTGCGGCCGGAGTTGGAGTTGCAAGATGGGCTTTTGTTGGGTTGACCGCCGGCGCGGATATCTGTCCAGGCGGGGAGTTGGTGCAGATGCCTGGGCGATAATTGTGGGAGCGACTGAATGGTCAATAAGGTTGCCGAGACTGATCCGGTGTTAGCATAGGAGCACATTGGTTAGGCGGTGGCGCTGGAAACCCAGGAAAACATACGTTGGCATGCTGTTCATGATGTCGACGTTGTCGAGCAAGCAATGGGATGCGCTGTCGCTAGGGGTACCTTGGCCGAGGGCCCGTTGAATAGAGGTGGGTGTATTTGTTGTAGACATTTTATCTAGATATAGTGTAGCGATGTCGGGATTAAATCGGTATCGATGTGAAGGTCGATATTCTGACTGGATCGAAATATCAGGATTTGCGCTTGGAAGGGAAGATGATTTCGGAAAACAAATAAGACTTGCAAATCAGGCGGAAGGACCAAATTTATACAAGCCCTAAACACTAAAATCTTCCTTGCGACAATGAAGAGGCTCCTCCAGGTTCAGGTTTGTTTTGACCCTTCACTCGATGAGTGAATGGGTGAGTCGAATTTTTTCCAGGTTCTCGATCCACGGACCCTTGAATGGCCAACTCGATGGGGAAAGGTTGGTACGCCAGGTTCTCGACAGGAGTTGCTTTCACTGTAGAGATATTCCTTTGGTCAGCGAGTGACTTACAAGAGGAACAGACAGACGAATACAAGTGACCCTTGGGCATATATAAGTAGAGGTATATATGATATTTATCGTCGACGCAGATGTTGTTTCGGGTACGTGTGTTGTTGGTGGTGAAGAATGAACAAGAAACTGTAGTGGGAAAACGTGTTTCCAGACATGCGTTGTAGTCTGGGCACCGGCACGAACAATGACCACGTTCAATGTTTCCTCGCCATTCCATGTCTCTCATAGGAGTATAAGCGATGTGATATTGCATCTTTGGTGGTTTTGAACATGGGTCGGATCTGAATTTCGAAATGTCTCCATGCCGCAAAGTTGTCTCAAAGTCCCACCTTCCCCCCGAGGCCCAACATCGCCTTTATCAAGGGAAAGAACCAGCTATTTCTTCCAGAAACCGAAACCAGTTGGCTCAGTGGCCCATTGATTAGTGATGTAGGTTGTCGCGTTTGTATTCTTGCTTGTAACCTTTGTTCGATTCCCCTTCATGGCCAAATCTTTGAAGCTATTTGGACTTTGCAAAACCAAATGTCAGCCTTTACCTTACGTAGTGGTTTTTGGAAGGTTAACCCTATATATTCTTGACCTCTAGGGGCTTGTAGGCAAGAGGTTCCCCTGCCTCACTCATCTTCGTGATAGCCCGCTCCGTATACTGTTGTCTCCTGCTTTTTATGGAAGACAATCTATATGTGGAAAGCAGTTACTGTTTTTTTCAAATTTCTTGTCTGCTACATCTAGTCAACCTGAAACGCTTGGGCCTAGAATTTCCCGCTGCGGTGTTGTTCCGTCTCTTTGGGGATTGCAGATAATTGCTGCCCCCACTGCAGCACTGCCTCTAGGTACAGAGTCCAGTAAAGACCGGAAGTAATGTACCTAGAGGTAGAAGCAGGTACCATTTAGACATGTGTGGTAAAGGTGAAGGCCTACAGATGACTCTGTATTCATGGTTGTGGAAGCGCGGTCTCGCAGTTCGCAACTTCCAACTCTCGGAGTTCCTGTTGGATCCGCCTGACTTTCTCCTTGATCCGCTCCACCTCGGCCAGATAGTACTCTTGTTCCAGCCAATCTTGACTTATGTGCTTTTCCTCCTCGGATTGTTCCCTCTCATAATGTCGTATCTGGCTTTCCATGTCCATAAACTCTCCTTCCATGTCCGGCATTCCTTCTCCCGCATCTACCCTCCGTTGAAGCTCTGCAATGATCCCTTTTTTGAATTCACATCTCTCTTCTTGTATTTGACGCGTACGTTTCAAAAGCGTGACCGCGTCGGCAACATCACACTGTAAGCTCATGGTGCTTGCCAATTTCTCCCGGAGTGTCCGAATGCGTTCACGTCGCTCTTCCACTGCTCGTAATTGGGCATTTGATGCCGCTGTCTCCTGGTCGGTCGAAGCTGCAAGGAGCACGCGAGACATAGGGTCGCCCGGGGTGGTGGTAGAGGTAGGCGTTGTCTGGGCGGTAGGTGAGATGGGAGCAATAGGTTCAGTCTCAGACCTAGGGGCCCGGAGAGACAAGGATGCGAAACGTGACTCCATGTCCGTGTCGGAATAAAGCCAGGAAGTTCTAGCATCGGTTCTTCGTTAGTTGATAGCCAGTAGATGCGATCCTGATGCTAACGTTCTATACATACAAGGTTGTGCGAGGATACTGCAAGTCCAAGTGTGGAAACCCGCCCTGGGAAGGACCAGACGGGTTTGAGATGCTGGGTTCGATGTCATCGTCCAGGTCTGGTGATTGTTGCATCTCGACAAGTGACTGTATTGGTGGTAAGGTGATTGAGTGTGTTTCCAAGTACTTTTGCAGCCACTCTGGGCGCTCAAAGTGGGTTCGTTGGAAGAGTCGGAGGGTGGTTGATTAGAAGAAAGAGGAAGACTAAGACCAAAAGGCCCAGAAAGACAACTAAATACCCCGCCAATACCTAAGACACCATTCAACCTTCCACTTTCTTCACGGGCAGTGTTCAGTAGATGAAGATGACTGTTTTGGACATTGGATTGGGGGTTGGGAGTTGCCCTTTAAGACTTGGTTTTTGTAAAATATCATTACTACCTACGTAAGGATCGGACCTCCGTCGGGATTATCATTTTTACTTTTAATAATTTCTAGGTGAATCAGTGCGTCGGGTATAAAATTGAATAACCATGTTACTGTTCCTGTACAGAGAATTACCCAACGCGAAGGATTTGTCGGTGTTCCGTCGCACGTCTGCAGGCATGATCGCAAATGCTATGGTTCGAGGTTCAGTCAACTCTCCCTACTTGGTATGCCCGCTAGGTTGGTAAATGTACCTATAGTCTTGAGGAATTGCTGGCTGGCGGGCATCAACCGAACCGCGTCGGGCATGGAGAGGTAGAGACGCCTGTGGTAAAGACATTGCTTGCTGGAGTTATGCAGTCGTTAAGCTATCTCTTTTAGGTTTGAAGATCTCAGCTTAGCTGTTGCAGGTTTGGGGGGATTAAAAGTTGCTTCGCATAAAAACGATGTCGGTGAGGAGTCCCGAGAGTTGCGCACGAAAAGGAAGGGACTGTTCATACATCAACCTTCTCCTCAAGTCTTTTGCCCGCTTCGGAATCCTCAGTGTATCCCCAATAGGCTACCCTCCTCTGCAAATCTGCCCGCAACGACCTCCTGGCCTGCTCTGTAAGCTCCGCAATGTCCCCCTGATAACTGGCAATTACGACTTGTCGAAGTTGAATATCGGATTCCAATTTCCCCGCTCTATCAGCCCAAAGTCTCCCCATATCTTCATCCAATGCTCCTAAAAAGCCGGGGTCGTAATCGACTTGGCATGATGCTGCCACAAAAGGGAGTGGAGGCACCCTAAGTGGACTCAAAGGTGGTGTGACGGGAACCGTTCCAAGACATTTCGACAGATTTGACGGGCCCAAGAACAGGCGTGGCCACAGGCGTATCAAAAGGGGTTGATAGCGGGGTAGAGGCAGGAGAGCCAGCGAGGGGAGTTGACTCAAGGGCGTGGTGGACGGTCGGGTTTGGGGAATTGAACGAGTAATCCGATTCGGAACGAGAAAACGGCGGGGCTCGTCTAGCGAAGTGTTGTTAGTACGACACAAATCCATTGCGCGAGAGAGTGGCGGTACCATAGAGTCAGACATACAGAAAGATCCTGGAAGTATAGCCGACGCCAGATCGAGACTGTGACGCGCCGGGTAGTGGGGTGGAAGGTTGATCGAAATGTGTCCAACTCTGTAGTTGGTGAGCCGTTTGGTGTGAGAGGACAGCATTTTCAGCATTGTTGTGGCTGTGATTGGTATAGTAGCGTGCTTGAAAGTCGAAAGGTTGACAGTGTCAGATCAGTATAGCTGATGTCGCTGTTTTTTTTTTTTTTTTTTTCTCGAATTGTCGATCGAGCGAGGAAGATGAGGGTTGGAAGTTTGAGCAGACGCCGTGTTTTAACGGCCAATCAATAGGTAGGACACTGTGTTCAACCTTTACAGGATGCTATCATCATCTGAATGGCTTATTCGTGACCAGCCACAGCGAATGCCTCAAGGTATTGACGATTGAACATTCCTAGTGTTCCTGATATTTTCCAGTTGTTGGCTCACCGGTATGGTTGTGTATCTAGACCCAACCAGTTGAAACGATTTGTTTCTGGAAATAGGGATGAATACACGCTCCACCCGATTGACAATCTGGAGTTTGAAGCCGCCGGAGATTTTGGCATTGTCGCAGACTGTCAAGTGTTGGGGGCGGGCTGAACTTGTGGTGCCCTTAGAGAGCCGAGATTGTGTCAAACGTCAGTCGTGATGTTTCGTATCGAGGACAGGTCCATGTATTCTAGGAGCTAGTTGATATAGGTAGTGGTACGTATTGTGAAGACGTGAACAAGATTGACAAATCGGTAGAGAAATGGCGCGGACAGTCGGTGGTCGACGGAATTTGCGGAGGAAGAAGAAGTGGAGAAGAAAGGGATGTGTTAGTGATAGTGCAGCCACTGGATTTCGAGGGCTATGGTTCATAACACTAACAGACGAACATCGCCCGACCGCCCCGGACGTTCGGATTCCTGACTTCAATGATGGAGCCGCTGGGTACCACGCACACCGGCAGTTTTCATACACAGAACCGCTCGGCCATGTGGCCAGTTTGTCCGCGCTGGAATTAGAGCCTGGTACGGGGTCTAACATGGTGGCTAGAGGGGTAAAACTGAAGGATGAGATGAGAGGCGGACCTGAATGTCTAATGATGGCAGTCCTCGAAGCAGGGAAGGTTTCAATGCGGGCTCCATCCACAAGGGCAAAGAAAACGGGAGAGAGCGGGTTTGGAGGCCTTAAGAACAGGGGATTATGCAGAGATCAAGAGTGGTATTTACGACTGACTATCAACACCCACAGTAAATCCCACCTTGTTTGCCTCGTGTTTGGTTTGTTTGGGCAGGGTGGTTGCGCGAGAGGCCCAAGAGCTTTGGGTGGAAAACAGCTGGACAGGAAGTCGACCTACGGCCTTCTTCCACAACAAAAAAAACCAAGAAAGTCATGAGAACTGCCAAGAAAATGAGGTTTTTCTTTCAGAGAACGAAGTTGGCTGTCGAGACAAGATTGACGGAGAAGGAGCGTTCACCGAATTGGAAAGTACATCCGTCTGACCCCACATCTTCACCTTCCAGCTCTACTATCACTTCTGCTCACCATCGCCCCACTCTGGTCATTTTGTTCCTCAAATACCAACGGCCCACCTAGTGTCTCCAACAAGTCAAAAACTCCCCCTCCACAACTTTTCTCCCTGTCATCTTCCATTATTCATCACACCCACAACCGCTTACCTCACCCTCTTCCTCATCAACAACCTCGCATTCCAATCCGTCATGGCCATCTCATTGATATACCCCGTCTTCGGCCTTCCCTTCTTTTCATCCGCAAACTTGAACTCAAACTCGTACAACATCCTGGCCATGATGAGCTTGATCTCCGCCACGGCAAACTGTCTGCCCGGACACGCCTGGTTTCCATATCCAAAGCCAAGGACATTTGGATGCGTCTGCCCGGCCATGTGCAGGTGCATCTGGTCTGGAGACTCGTGTCTCTTGCGGTAGAAGCGCATGGGATCGTACTCGTTTGGCTTTTCGTACGTCTGGGGGTCCATTTGGTGTTCAAGCATGGGGAAGGCGACGCGGGTGCCGCGGGGGATAAAAGTGCCGTCTTTGAGAGTGACGTCCTGCTGGGCCAGACGTTGTGGTCCAACTGTGTTTAGGTAAGTATTCTTCCGTTAGCACATCCCGTCCCGTCATCAGAAAGAAATGAAAGAGAAAATGGAGGGAAAGGGCAACATACGCATAATAGGCGGCTCCCTCCTCTGCGTCTCCTGAAAGAAACTATCCAGCTTCTCCAGCCTGACACACCACTCCTTGACACTCACCCCCCCGCCGCCGCCCTCCTCTTTCATCCCACCCGCCAACCCCGGCGGCCCCAGATCCTTTGCAATCTCATCCACCTCCTCCTGCAACACCCCCCACCACTGCGCATGTTCGCACAAATCAAACATCATATTCGCCGCCTGGCTCGCGGTAGTATGAATACTCGCCAGCGTCAACACACACTGTCGGGCACTCATCTCCTCCACTCGGACTTCCTCCCCCTTTCCGTGATCCAGCATCCAATCCAGCAGGGTATCCTGTGCTTCTTCTGCCGTGAGGCTCACCTCTCCCCGTGCCGCCTGCGCCCTCTTCTCCTTGAGGGACGCATGCTTGCGCATCTGCTCCCCCACTATCACCTGCGCAGCCTTCAATTGCTTCAACACCCTTCTCCGCGCTGGGATCAAGGGAGCAACGACCGGGTACATCCAGGGCGGGAACATCTTCATGGTGAAGCTGGCGGTGAACAGGTCGATGCTGAAAGCGACCGAGATGCCGAGCCAGGTCTCGTCGCGGCAGGCCGGGTCGCCCAAAAAGACTTTGGCGGTCATGCGGGAGACTAGGTCGCGGACGGTGCGCTCAAAGTCGATCTTGACCCAGTCGTTCCCGTTGGCTGAGAGTTGGGAGTGGGGAAGGGAAATGTCCCATCCGTGGGAGAGCTCGGTGGAGGCCGAGTCGATGAATTTCCAGAGCTCGGGAGTGAGCTTTTTGCGGAGGACTTCGACGTGGAGGTTGTTGGTGAGGAGGAAGGTGATGCCGTGGTATTCGGGGACGAGGTTCTATGGACGTTAGTGACCCTGTCCAGAATACAAAGGGTTGGTAGAAAGAAGGAATGAAAGGACGTACGGCGACATTAGCACCCTTGTTACTCAGCTTGCTCAGCGGAATCAAGCGTAATTCATCCAGGTACCGGATGGGTAATATCAGAAAATCGGCGTCGTAGCGTTTGAGGACAAAGGGCATGTTGGGCATCTGTTTTTTCTTGTCAGTAATTTGTTTCCTCTATTTCCTTTTCTCATCAGAAATACATACCTTGGTGTAAGCCTCATGCACCAACTGTCTAGCCCCCATGACGAACCTGGCCTGCAACAAGAGCGTCGGTTCGAACCATGAACGATAGCCCCAAGTGGGGATCGTGAGCTTCTTGCGCTTGCCGTTGGTAAGCCATTTGGCGGTGGTAGAGAGGAGCCAGGATGTGATGAGGATGAGGGCAAAGGTTTTGGGGTAGCTCAGATGCTCAATTTTGTCTTTGATGGCGAGGTGAAAGGGGTTAGCATATGGGTTCAGAGGCCCCGGTGGGGAGGAGGTGTTGTGTAGTGTATTCATTGTGCTGTTTCCTTGTGCCTTTTGGGGTGGTGGATGTTTGGTTGTTGAGTGGAGGATGAAGCAGATGATGTGGTATGAGACTGAGACGAGAAAGGGAAGTGGCCGTTGTGTTTTATGTCTCTCTGACTTTTGTTGACCGAGCCAGTTCTAGATAGAGGTATCTTGTCTGCCCCTGGATATCAGTTCGTTCGCGGCCTACTGTCCTGATTCATTGATTGGTTTCCACAAAGTCTGAGAGTCGGAGGCCGTGACGAAGCCGAAAATCGTGAAGCTATCACACCTGAGCTGGAAAACATGAGCTGAGGCTAGGCTGGAGTTCAAGTCCGTGAATGTGATCCTCACCAGTATCGGTTCGACACTTGAAGGGAAAATCAGAAACCTTCATCCCCACATGGCCCTTGATGTCTCTGCTCGTCACACACCTTTCAGTGTTTTTTTTTTATTTTTTCAAATTTTTTTCAGCTGGAGTTTGGCTCCGTGCCACCCGGCTTGATAGTGATCCTGGACAGTAACATCGAGTCCAGTGCAACCATACATGTTGCAATGTTCAACGGCCATCCCCTAAGATCGAATGTTGTGCATAATGGAAGGAAAAAGCAAGTTGGATCGGGTTAACAGTTCGTGTGGTTACTCCGATCACTTTTCACTTTTTTCAGCTGCTGTAGCATCACATGTCCTCTGTGGGTGGAGAAGATGGAGTGATGAAATCTTTGAGCCATCACAGCCGGATGAATGGTTGTTGATCTAAGACAGCCTAGCACATCATCATGTCCATAGTACATCCCGCAGTGGATGCGGCAAGCACAGTGGATTTCCATAAGCGCGGTGCGGGAGGACATGGAACTGACATGAGTGTGTCTCATTGCATTATTGGTGTTGACGCTGAAATGTTTCGGAGTTTCTTTGGAGTATGTGAGCACTGTGCTTTTACCCTTGACGCGCTGAGACAGGGGTGGCAGGTAAGGTACCTGAATAGGATTTGCGTTCGGCAAGCAAATTTGCAGGAATCGCAAAATGTCCGCACGTGGTGATCTGCGAACATGTCTCGGATGGATGGAGGGAGAGATACACTCCTGTAGGGCCAAACGCTAGGGGAGGATATGCTGTGAAGCCGGTAAGTGGCGATGATACTTACGAATGGCGCCCGGGTTGGGTAAACACCATCAGTTCTGTCCGATATTCGCAACTAATACTACTGTGCCGGATCATGAGAAGGACGGCCACTGTGGTCGATACGTATCGGGAAGAGGAACTCATAAAAGGGGATTTGAAAGGAGACGTCCACTGTGCCTGAAGTAGTAACATGTCATTCGAACCCATCGTGGAGCGGTTGAGCTGGGCCGAAGATCATCACTACGCTAGACGCTGAAGCAGGGGACAAACCACTGCAAGTGTGAAAAGGCCGAAGCCGGGGTTACATCTTTCTGGCAGGACGGCTCGAAGAACCCGAAAATGGCATTGAGGTTGTAGAGGTATGGAAGCGAGTGTGAAGATGGATACGAGAATCTGAGGTTGTATGTAAATGGACACTGGACGGTAGGTGGTGAGTTGGGGGGAAAAATAAAAGTACAATACAGGATGTGATGTCAATTGATGGGAAAACCGACGCTGTAATTTGCGCTGCACGTCCATTCAATATAAGAGGTGGTATAATAACGTGTATTATCTCTACAAGGACATTTTTCCACATTGAAATGTTAGGAAGCGCTAACCTGCTATCTGTACCCCACTCCCCCTCCCACGTCATTCCCGCTCACGACCATCACAACTCTCACAAATCCCTCACCAAGAAGCCTCCATATTGCAATTTCTGAAACAACCCCTCGCCATCATACTTTGCCGCAACTTCCTTGATCAAGCCGACATTCTCCTCTCCAAACCCCCGCAGCACATCCTGCCTCTTGTCCGCAAACGTCGGGCAAACAAAGTCCAGCAACAGGCCCCTCTCCTCCGCCGCCTTCTTCACCTGCTCGTAAAGGCGATCCATGGCTGCTTGATGTACCGCGTCATCTCCATCCCGCGCGTACTCCAGCGTGAACACGCACCAGTTCTGCGATACTTCTTGCAGACCGAGAGCATTGCCACCTGTGCCATTGTCACGACCGGCGCGGGCGGCAGAGGCAGTGACGGGCTGGATGGTGTAGTGCAGGTCTGTGCCGTCACTGGAAGGGGGGAGCGTGGCGGTTATGTCTTGCCAGATTTGGTGGATGGCGAGGTAGAGGTCCTTGTCCACTTTGGTGGAGATGGTGAAGATGGTGCGTCTGTTGGGAGGAAGGAGGAGGGTGGTGGTTAGCATGGGGTGCAGTAGTGGGTGAGATGAAGAGGGGGAAGGAGTCATGACTTACTTTCCCTTGGGAGGCCGATGGCCAATGGCCTGCGCCAGCGTCGACAGCGTGCCATTCGTCTTTGGAACCACAGGCGCCATCATACTCTCCAATTTCCGGAACGGCTCAAACACCTTTGGTTCTTCCTCGGGCGTATCGGCATAGAGCTGTCCAATGGCGACGAAATCCCTGTGGACGTTGGTAAAGTACGCCGCTTGCGCATCCGTCTCCATCTCCTTGTGCGCAGCTACCGAAGCCTCGATGATGTTGGTGTAATCATCCGGCTTGTACAAGCTGACGGTATACTGCGTCTTCAACAACGGATACGTCTGCAAGTAGAAGGTGGTAACGACTCCAAAGTTGGATCCGCCGCCTTTCAGAGCCCGGTAAAGGTCCGGTCGGACTTCGGCAGAGCAGTGGACAGTGTGTCCATCTCCAAGGACGACCTCAAATCCCCGGACCTGATCACACCCCATCCCCCTCAGGTTCACAAACCCTGGCATCCCCCCTCCCAGCACAAAGCCCGCCACACCAATCTCCTCGTATCGTCCCCCCATCACACTTCTGCCCTTGCCTTCGAGCCAGGTATACACCTCTCCCCAAGTGTTTCCCGCCCCCAAGCTCGCTATCCCTGTCTCCGGGTCAAAGGACTTATCGTTCAACAACTGCAAATCAATAATCACGCCATCTTCACGAGTGCTGCTGAAACCCGGGTTGGGATTGTGGCCCGTGGCACGCACAGCAAATTTGCATTGCGTTTTGGTAATGATGGAGAGCGCCGTGCTGACCTCGGCTGCGGAAACAGGTTGGAAGTACGCAGCAGAGGGGAGGTGGCAGGTTGTTGACCTGAAAACCGAAGCATGACGTGGTCAGTACCGGAATGAAGAGAGGATGGATGGAGGAACACTACCAGGGCGTTGTAAGAGCCACCATGGGCCTGGAGGTAGGGTCATCGGCGGTAATGACCCGCTCTCCGAAAGCGGCTTTGAGCAGGTCACGAGCAGCAGCTGCTCGTTCATGGTCGGTCTTTGGGATGGAAATGCCTCTGACTGAGTGTGGGCGGAAGATTGAGTGCCGTGAGATGGCTAAGAGGTAAGATCCAGTGGATCTGAAGAGCTTGAGAAGGGCTGAGGACATCATCGTGAATGATTGCCGTATGTTATGAGTGGTTTTTGCTTGTCGACTGATCGGCATCTCACAAAGCGAAGCAAGAGAGCGGTACAGGGCCAGTACTAATAAAGCAACTGGATTTGGGGGCATGAAGCTCTTCTTCAACCCGACCGATTTCGGCCTTTGGTTCATCAGCGTCATTGCTTTGTTTCTCAAGGATCAGGGTAAGCATACCTCTCACACAGGCCCGGTCAAGCTGAAGGATCAACAACCATCACTGGCATCCACCGTCGTGCAGTCTCGGGTCCCGGGATATCATCACCATCACGACCCCGGAGATTTGGTGTTTTACTCAAGGCAAGGTACCTACACACTGAGGTGATCACCGTCATGGATCCAGCAGCCTTAACAGGGGTCCAACTGTTCAGGGCTGCAGCGCGTTATCCGCCCCCTGTCGGGCTGGGCACATGGCCCCAAGTGATATTGGAGAATCGGGTGTGAAGGCCCGGCCATAGTGCTACTTAACAGCACCAATCGGTGCACATCCCATGCCTGTTACCACCTCCCTGACATACATATGGCACACAGTGTCGGTCAGTGCCCACCTTCCTGTCTAAGACTGCAACTGGACGCTACTATTGCGTATACACCCTAGACTGAGACAGTGACGAAATGAAACATCTTTAAACTGAGATGCCATCAAGGTATGTGATTTTATCACACGCAAAAGCAGTCGGGGAATTACTGTGTACACTACTACACTTAACACTTACACTAGTCCGGGTTACACGACAACGGCCCCGATAGCAAAGTCGCACTGGGAAATACGCGGGCCGCCCATCCCAATCCACCAGGCCCCGTGGGAGATCTGGATCGATTTGTCGTGCGTGGAAAGATACCTACCTATGATCGTCTTGACGAACATCGCGAAGCGAACTCAGGCGAACAGGCCCGGTATGTTGATACCATCAATGTTATGCCCCTGGGGCCGTGCGAGAACCTTAGCCATGCTCTTTCCACAGAGCATCGATCCTTCAACGACGAGTGTCTTGATGGCTCCAGTCTTGGAATCGGAGGTGGTGTCCCGCACGGTTGACTTTAGTGGGTCAAGATGGAACATGTCGCAGTCGTAATTTTCTTTGCAATACTACGGAAAGAAAAAAAAGAAAAAAAAAAGAAAAAGAAAGACTTACTATCATCAACATGGTCTGTGGATCGCTGACTCTGTATACCAGAAGTATCTTTCTCGGAAGAGCGGAACTCGAATGTTTTCACGCGGCTATTGCTCATGGGTCCCATGGGGCTGCAGCTGAGAATCCTACCTACTCGAGTCTTGAAGTCCAGCTATCGAGTTCTCCTTCATCAGCTTGTTGATCACAGGCATGTCTTTGGTCACTTGTCACAAATGAAGAATCTTAGTCTCATGAGACTTGAAGAGGACCTGACGATCCTAGGACAAATCACTCCGTGATGTGAATCGATCCCGGCTGAACCTTGGGGTCTGGTGTAAAGCCGAATGGCGGACTCTTCAATATCGAACTTCGAGCTCACCACTACTCGAGATGGAGGAGCCACAACCACAAGACATGATGACAAGTATAATACTTCATCAACAGTTCTCCCGTTCATCAACAGATCTTCTATTCACAACTCGCTACAACAACATCACACATCATTCACTCGCAACCATGGATTCCACAATACTCCAATCCCAAATCGACTCTCTTATCTCCTTCATCGCCTCCCATTGCTCGTCCGGCAAAGGCCTAGGCACCACCTCCTCAGCCATCTATGACACCGCCTGGCTATCCATGATCCAAAAACCCGCAAACTCTAGCCACTTCCTCTTTCCCCAATGCTTCACCTACCTCCTCCGGCAGCAACTTCCCTCTGGCGGCTGGACCTCGTACGCCACGCCCGTGGACGGCATCCTCAACACCGCCGCCGCCCTCCTCGCTCTCAAGCGCCACTCCATGTGCCTCCTTTCTTCTCCTCCATGTGCCCAACCCACACAACAACACCAACAAGAACTCGACAACTGGCCCCTGCACCACCGCATCTCCCAAGCCGAATCAGCCCTCCAATCCATGCTTCTCACCTGGGACGTCGCCACCACCGACCAAGTCGGCTTCGAGCTCCTCGTCACTCGTCTTCTGTCCTTGCTCCAAGACGCCGGCGTGCAAGGCCTGTCTGACTTCCCTGGCTCTACTACCCTGCAAGCCCTGCACGATGCCAAACTCGCCAAATTGCCAGCTAATTACGTCTACCAAGCCCGCTCCACACTGCATCATTCGCTTGAGGCGCTGGTGGGATACATTGATTTTTCCAAGGTCGGCCATCTGAAGGAGGAAAATGGGAGTATGCTGGCTAGTCCGGCGTCGACGGCGGCGTATTTGATGGGGTTGGCGGAAAATTGCATGTGGGATGAGGAATCGGAAGCATATTTGAGGGGGGTGCTGGATAGAGAGAGGTTTGAAGGGGAAGGAGACGGGGAGAAGGAAGATGGAGGGGTGCCGTGTGCGTGGCCGACCGAGACATTTGAGGTTACGTGGGTAGTTACGACGCTGGCGGAGGCGGGGGTGAGGTTGGGGGATAGGGAGGGGGAAGTGATTAGGGGGTATTTGGAGGAGGGGTGGAGGAGGCAAGGGGGGTTGTTTAGTTTTTGTGAGTTCCTTCCTTGCTGCAGTACCTACCCTCGGTGGCTGGTGCTTTTGGTTGAAAGGGGAAGAACCAAATGCTAACTGCCTCGATCGTGTGCAGTTCCCGGCGGCCTTGTCGATGCGGATGATACGGCAAGAGCCATCATGGCGTTGAGACATCTTGGTACCAAGGTGGGCGTCGAGTCGCTCATCAGGACGTTTGAAGCAAATGATCACTTCAGGACGTACGAAGGGGAAAGGAATCCGAGTATCAGCGCCAACTGCAATGTTTTGTCGTGTCTGCTGATGATGGATGATCCGACGGTTTATGCTCAGCAGATTGTCAAGACAGCAAAGTTCCTTTGTGAACAGGTGTACACTGATAGTGTGAGAGAGAAATGGGTAAGTGCTTCCTTCCCCTTTTGATGAGCGTGAGGGGCAAACACTGACACGAAGGTCCAGCACATCAACGAACTCTACTGGATGATGCTCCTCTCCCAGTCCTTGGCCACCCTCTTCGACACCATGGCCGCCAACCCCTCCCTCGAGGCTTCCATCTTCCAGCTTGCTCCCGAACTTCAGGAGCAAATCCCAATGACTTCCCTCCACGTTCTCACCAAAGTCCTCGGCTCACAGGGCCTCGATGGCTCTTGGGCAAATGGCATCGCTGAAGTCACGGCATACGGCATCCTCACGCTTTCATGGCTCTCCCATCTCCCCTGGATCCAACAACTCGGTCGCATGCATGGCGTCAACTTCATCACCGCTAGCATCGAAAGCGGCAAGGCCTTCCTCGAAGCTCACAAGCACGATTGGAAGAAGGGGCAATACCTCTGGATTGAAAAGGTCACCTATGCCTCGCCGGTACTGTGTGAGGCGTATTGTCTTGCTGCGGCAGTGATTCCTGTGCCCGACTTCACTGGTTTGACTGGTGATGTAGATGGCCAGGTTGTGTACAGAACCAAGGAGTCGCTCTTCGTTTCCGAGGGGTTGCTCAAGGGCGTGTTGAAGGCAGGACAGCTCATGTCTCTTACGCCCTTGTTCAGAGACCTGGCACCACAGCTGCTGAGAGTGGCAGAGATGCAGGCTTGTTATGCTCTTGGCTTCTTGCAGCGGAAACGCAAGGAGCTCGGCATCTTCCCAGCTACTGGGGGGGACGAGAAGTACATGGCTTTCATCCCTCTTACCTGGACCGCTAGCAACGCTCTCCGCGTGCAAGCCACCGCCGGCTATGGCCACGGCCACAGTGGAGGCTTGAGCAACTACGTCCTGCAAGAGATGATGGTCCTGTCCATGCTCAACTACCAAGTGGACGAGTACATGGAAACCGCCGTGGAGCGGGACTTTTTGGGTTTCTACAGCGGAAGCTGGGGAAGTTTGGAGGCGGTTCGGGAAGCGATCGGGCAGGTGTTTGAAGAGTTTGCTCCTCCGGGTAGGAAAAGGAGTATCTGGGGAGACGCGGATCATACACCCACCAACCTGAAAGAGATTCGATCCACGCTCTCCCGCTATGTCAGACACATCTTGCTGCATCCAGCTGTCAGAAGTGCACCGGCGAGTGTACAGGCTAGGTTGAGGAACGAAATGCATACGTTCTTGTTGGCACATGTTCAACATGCTGCTGATAACATCCACTTTGCGGCTGCATCGAACCAAGCCTGTCAAGTCGACAATTTGAACTCTTGGGAGCGCGAAACCGGCCTCCCATCTCCTCCCATTACCGAACCCCACGATCCTTCGTCCCCACCACCATCCAAACGCCGCCGTCTTGCATCTTCCTCATCTTCTTCTTATTCTTCGTCTTCACACAAAACACAAGAGCAGCAACCCAAGATCTTCGCCCCCACAGACTCAAGGACTTTCTACTCGTGGGTTCGCACCACCTCCGCCGACCACACCTCCTGCCCCTTCTCTTTTACTTTTTACACCTGCCTCCTTTCCCACTCTCACCCTTACAACAGCAACAAGACCGAGAACTTGTTCAACCAGGACGCCAGGACAAGCTATGTCGCCGAAGCGATGGTGAGGAGCTTGGCGAGCTTGTGCAGGATGTATAACGATTATGGGTCAATCGCTAGGGATGCGAGCGAAGGAAATTTGAATTCGGTGAACTTTGCAGAGTTTCATTTGGCCACGGCTGGTGGTGCTGGAAAGCGTGCGTACGGAAGCATTGGAAAGGGCTGCTGCAGCGATGGGAATCAAAATGGTGGGGAGGAAGAAGAAGAAGAAGAGAAGAAGAAAAAGGCCAAAGAGGAGCTAATGTGGGTTGCCGAGTACGAGAGACGCGGATTGGAAAGGACACTGGGAGAGCTGGGAGGGTTGGTGGGCAACGGAGAGATGATGGAGAAAGTCAAGTTGTTTGTGGATGTCACGGATTTGTATGGGCAGATTTACGTGGTGCGAGATATTGGGGTTGGGGTGAAGAGGTAGTAGGTAGAGCGGTTGATGTTCCGTTTTTGTAGGTATCTTTCTGTAATAGTTTTTATTCTTTTAGCATCTTCGCAGCTTTGGGAAAAAAAAAAATTTCAGTCAATTTCCTCATTTGATGCTCCCGTCGTATCATGATGTTCCACGCCTTAAAAGGGGCGAGTAAACAAATCGCATTCGTTTCCGTGATTTTATTTTGACACATATCGAGGCTCTTGCTTAGCGAAATCATCAAGAATCCGCAAGGTCACAGGGACCTTGGCGCAGTTGGCTAGCGCGCAGGTCTCATAGCTTTCTATGATCTGGTGAAATAACATCAGAGTAATCCTGAGGTCGGGAGTTCGAGCCTCCCAGGTCCCAATCTTTTTTCGGCATTTTTTTGGTTGTATTTGCTAATGTTCACTAGGTTTATTTACTTCTCCTTTTTTCGTGGGATGTTTTGGGGGGGTCTTTCTGGTGGGAAAATATCACACCGTTGGCAAAGCCACCATTCATCTATCTATCTATTCGCGCTCTGTTTTTGGCTTGTCTAGAAATTGCGCAGGACTAGTCAGTCGTCTGTCATCAATGTCTCACAGCATGTCATTAATTCGCAACGATGAGAAGGGGGGGGGGGGGGGGGGGGGGGGGGGGTGAAATTCGGAGAAACATGCGGGGAAATAGACCTTGGAAGTTCGTTGCTTCTTGTAAGACAATGGTTTAACACAGTGTTTCGCGGCGACGATAGTTAGCCACTTCCGGTACCTATCCTTGTCCAGCTTTGTCTGTTTAGGAGAGGAGGCAGAATGACCACCCATGCCTAAAAAGCCGGGTTACGTACAGGTTCGAGTTCCAATCTTGGCGATATATTTTCGTAAATTAGGGATTTGCCATTCCAAAGGAGTTCAATGATGTCGGCTAGCCACTTCCATGCTACCAACCGTCCACCAAGCAATAGGAGGACATCACAAACATAACATCGTATCGACAAGATTACCACCCTTCAATCCGATTACCACGCAACCTAGGTACCTACTTGGGAATCCCAATGCCACTATCCTTTTCTGTCAGTGTCTCTGTCATCGCACTACTTCCCCCTGGACTAACAGGCGTCAAATCGATATCCGTGGGGCTCCCGCTCCTGTCCCTCCGCATGTGATTCCAATCCTCGTGGCCGCTCGGTGAGATCTCCACGCCCAAGTCGACTCCCCTTGGTGGCATAGCAGCCCCAGTCATGGCTGCTGGCGGCGGTCGTGAAACAAGTACATCATCATTGACTGTTACCACATAGCCCGGGAACTGATTCTCCGGTACATGTACCGCCCGTGATCGCGCTCCTTGTGAAGCGCGAGCTGCTCTCCGTCCGGCTGCCGCCGAAGAGTTGCCGGGAATCCGAAACCTCGCCGGATCAGCCGAGTCCATCCTCCCCCCGGACTCCCTTATCGCATCCTTCCTCCTCACCTCCTTGCACGCCAAAATCGACAGCACAAAATTGATCAACAACATCATGACCGTGATCACTAGCAGAGCAACCCCCAAGCAATACAACTTCCCCTTTCGCCCTTTCAGTTTGCGTCCAGCCGTGTGGTACTTGGTCGCCAGCGCTTCGACGATAGGTGGCACGGCGACGGCGTCGGGTTCAAGGTTGAGATCGCGGTCGATTTCTTCGTCGGCCGAGGTCACCCAGATGCCGACGTAACCCATGGTGGCGATGCAAGCGAGGCAGATACAGATGTGTACGCCTACGTAGGCGCCCGGGTAGAAGCTGCGGAAGCGGTCGCGGAGGCAGCAGAGGGTGGTGAGGTCGATGAAGTGCCAGATTAGGGTTGCGAATGCCTGTGATGGAGGAGTTAGTACGATGATTGAGGAGAAGAGAAGAGGGTGGGATATAAAGTAATAATAGAGTGGAAACATGAAGTGATGATGATGGGAGGAGTTGAAAGGTCGGAAGAGGACAGAGATGGAAGATCAGGGTTGGGGTTATGGATGAGATGAGATGAACTGGTGGGTGTTGATCAACCAGCAGGGCCAAACTGTTGCGCCGTCACCACCGCCATGGTCATGAAAGGCCAAGACCCTTGACGACGAAGTGATGCGGAAAAGTAAACAAAGGACGAGAAATGATAATGATAACTTTTGAAAAAAAAAAAAAAAAAAAAAACAGTACGTACCGTAATGCCCACAAACACAAAACTAACGTGCGCAAACCCTTGATCCCCATACTTGCCCACCATATAACCGACGACTCCAAGGATGGCTACCGCCAGTATCATTGACAGCACGCCCAATATCGACCGTGCCGTGAATAACTTTGCTTTGAGTGATGATAACGACGATGACGACCTTTGCCTTTGTTTACTTGCATTCGTTGTTGGTGTTGTTGTCGTTGTGTGTGACTGGCTGTGGTACTGTTGCTCAAACCCTTCCTCCACATCCCTACTCCCAGCCCTATCTTGTGATATCCTCTTTTCCATTTTCCCAACTGTCGATGGATGCCCGTTTGATGTGTTGATGTCAAAGTGGTCAAAGTGCCGGGTTGATAAATGCGTGCGTGTGATTGGTCAAAAATGTCCGAGATGAAAGTGGACCCCGAAGCGGTGCCGAACCGGATGAGGTTAAGGAGGTCGAGACGGTGCGGCGGCGACGGCGGCCCCGGGCAGTGCCAGGTCCAGGTCCCGTCCGACGTCTGACGTCAATGTCGACACGGGCAACCGACCCCGACTTTGGACGGTGCAGTGTGCTGCGGGGAACTGGAGGTGGTTCGGTGCTAGTCCGACTTTTTGTTGTCCGATTTTCCTATGCTCAAATGCGCCGTTCCCTTGTGAGAAACGCCGAATCGGATGTGGGTGACAGACTCCTCCAAATTATAGCTGAGATTTACTCGGGTCCTCTGTCCTGTTTTGCTTCGATTTCCTTTGTCGGTAGCGGTGTGTTTCCCTTGCCCGCCTATGCCCAAGTCCCCAATAACCCAATGCAGAAATGCAGTATGCGCAATGCTCGAAGTTGATTGTCGTTATGTCGTTAATGTGTGATGTTGCCTTGTTGTTATGTCGATGTTGTATTCAAGGAATCTGTGTTGCAAGATGGGTGGGATACAAAAGGGGGGAGATCAACAACTCTGGGAATCCGGAAAGCGACTCTGATGGACCCCATAAAATGTCAGACAGAACTTGAAGCGACACGGAAAAGAAAGTTGAGAAAGAAGCAGGCGCCGGGCAGTCCGCCTTTTTGAACCAGGTGCCCGATATTTGTTGCCAATGCTGCCACCGATCTTTTTCCGTTTGCCATGGATTGCCATGGCTTGCCATGCCCAAAGCCCAAGACCGCCCAAGACCGTCCCAAGAAACGGGCGGAAACAAACAACGAAGGACAAGGAAATAACGAAAAAAGCAAACGACGGGACTGACACTTACTGGAACAAGCCCAGGCGGGCAACGACCGAGCTAACAATGCGTGCCGCAACCTAACACGCCTGACTGGACAGCCCAGGCTAAGTCGCAGAGTATCAGATACAGCTGCCCAGAAAACGCCCAGAGGATCAAGTGGGTGCTTTCTGTTCACGCAGAACACGCGGCGTTCATAGGTATGGAGAACAAACCGCAGCGATGGAAACATGGAAAAGTCCCCCGCTTCAACGAGGTCAGAGGACAGAGCGAGGGCTCCATCTGTCTGGGCGGTTTTTTTTTTTCTTTTCTTATTTTTTCACCTTTCACTTCCACCCAAGTTGCTTGGCTTTTTGAAGTGGAAATGACGACGGGCCCCCTCTGTTTCGCTCTGTTCCTTCCCCCTTTGGCAGATCGCCGGAGCTGCTTGGCTCACCCTTGATGCATCCTTGGCGGTGATCTTGGCGGACTGCCAACCATCAATCGAGCCTCCTTGGCGGTAAAGGGTTGCTTTCTTGGCCACAGCCTGCGTGTGTGCTGGGCGTTATGTATCATGCTGGGCAGATGATGTTCGCCCTCTTGTTTCTCCGGCTTGGGGTTTGGGGGCTGTGATTCGTTTACACAAGAGATGAGAGATGCCAATGCCGATACAGATGCTGTGCCTTTCAGGCAAGTATGTAAGATGGATGGGTGCTGTGACGTTGACAGTTGTATTGAGAAGTCAGAGTGCCATCCGATGTCAACTCCAAACACTCGACAAGAAAACTATCGTGGAAAAAAACAGAAGGATAAACAATGACAGTCCACTGCTCGCCTGCTGACTGCTTCGCCAAGCCCACTTCTTGCTTGCGTCGTGGATTTTGTCGGGTTTTAGGTAACACATGGCAAACCCAAGGCCTTGGCTTTCGGTGCTGGCAAATGTCTCGGAATGAAAACGACGATGCCAAGATAAAGGAAATGGCATCTTCCCGACTGACGGCATGTCACGGCATGACAGCACATGGCCGATGTTGAGCATAGCTCCGCTTGCGTAGTACATAGAGGCATCCAAGTCCCAAGTCCAAATTCCCCACTTTAAGCATTTAATTTTGGTATTTCTCCCAAGGCCTCAACACTTGGCAATGCGTCAAACTTTCCGTATGTACTCTTCCCTTTCTATACGCTTCATTCAAAGACTGTCAAGAAACTCTTGTTGGGCTTAAAAGAGCGCTTCCAAGTGAATTTCTGCATTTTGGGTCCAGAGTACGTTTGGCCGAAAGACATGTCTTGAGAAGAACAGACGAGGTCTGTGTTAACTCCCGCAAAAGGAAATTGTGGGCCAAATCTTTAGTTTCGTTTCGGTTTGAAAACCCCGAGTTTACGGACTGGGCGGCTGTGGGCGGCTCTGGGCGCCCGGAAGCACGGCAGCTAAGGAACGCTAAAAACAGGTAAAAATAGGGGTAGTAAACATACCTACCCTCGCTGCTGCCAAAGTCGGACTGTAAACTTCATGATGTTGCCGGCAAAGGCGGAAAAGAGAGACAGATATATATATATATATATACTGGCCTCGCTACCTATCCAGGGCAATTCCACAAGATCCCTCACACCGCTCACCCAAAGGCTGCTGGGTATGGGTTCCTAGCTTCCTAGTCTTGCTGCCCTGCTTCACCTCCAAGCTCACCACATTCTCACCATCCGTAGCTCCCGCCGTTGTCCCCTTCCAACATAGGGGCCATTACTCAAACACCAGCTTGATTGATTGTCCGGCTATCAAAGTGGTCCAGTCGGACGGAAGGGAAGCGGAAGGGAAGTAAGGGCGGTCGTTGTCGGCATCATATGATCCGCTCTCTGCCATGCCCTTCCTGAGACACCAGGCTCCGGTCGCCGTTGATCTTTTGTCGAGACGCGCGTTTTGGATATTATGACGGTACTTTTTTTGATACTACGCTCATGATTGTACACACGTTGTGTAACAGAACTGCTACATACCGACTGGCAGGGTTGATGGATGCGATGGAACTTGAAAGGAACTGAAATGCGACATGGACAAGTGAGAAATGGGCGGGATTGCATCCCAATGAAAGCTGGGCCTGGGCGGAGGATATTCTGCTAACAGATTTGGGGTAAACGTCGACTAACTTTGATAAGCCCCTAATATCAGCCAAACTAAGCTTTCCACTTGACGCACTGACCGCCCGTTTACCTATGCAGTGGTTGGTTGCAATTGCAATGCCTCCGGCAGTTGCAATGCGGGCAGTGATGCAAGCGAGTGCTGCTTCGAGCAGGTCACAGCGGCAGGCAATAGTTGACGCCCACTGAAAATGCGGAGTTGCAGTCCGGGCTTTGCATTCGTTTTTTGTGTTGATTTGACATTCGCCCGCCCGCCCGCTTTTGCATCCGGCAGCCGATGACACTGGCGACGGCTGATATAACTGAAACCACGATAGGCTGTACGGTAGAAGCAGCATAGTCATCCATCTCATCATCTTTACGATTGAGGATTGCTTACTTGCTTGCCACCCGACCATCCCGCCGCCGTCATTCATCAACCACCCCTCCCTCCCTCCCCCCGATTAGCTCTCTCTCTCGTCTCTAGGTCTATCTAGTGCGTAATCAAATCGTCTTTGTCATCGAACGAGAAGCCCTCAAACCGCATCCAACCCATTCGTTTCCCTTCCATCGACTCCGGCTTTTCATTCTTCAACCTTTAACAACAACAACAACACCACCACTTCTATCCTCGACCCATATTATAATAATCATCATCATCATCACATTCTCCCGCAGAGCATCGTCACTTCGAATCCACAAGCTGCTGCTGAGTCCAGCATTTACGAGCGATTTCCCCGACGTCTCATCTTGTCACCGCCCAGACCAGCATCGCTGCCGAGTTTACCTCGTTATCTTATCGCTTCATTACGCAATCTCCAGTCCAGTCCATCTTCGAAATACCATACAATTACCCAGATAATCACAATCACCCACGCCAATCACTTACTTTGTCACCCATACCAGTACCAGGAATCGCGTTGATTTCTGATACTCTCGACAACACGGATCCACAATGCGACGACCGTCGGATAGCTTGACCGAACCCGCTCGGAACCTTGAAGAATCAGTCGGATCCCCATCGCCAACTACCCCCGATCCCACCACCGATCTTTCTCTCCCGCCCCCTGAAGAGCAGATAGTAAGCCAACAGGCCGACGCCGACGTCAACGTTGATCCCGCTACTGTCACACCACCCCCGCACATTGCCGCCCGCCTCTTCATCCGGCCCACCAACCAGACCCGCCGCAAAGACAGTGCAGCTTCGTCGCGGCGCAACAGCTTCTCGTCCGCCCATTCCCGCTCTTCTCACGGCTGCGGTCGCGACGTTGGTCCCCAGAGCAAGTATGTCGCCCAACACTTGCGCCGCGCCTCCATCCTCGAAGACCGAAAGGCCCGCCTGGCCGACCGTGCCGCCCATGCCGAGAAAGTCCGCATCCGAGCCGCCAAGGCCAAGGCCACCGTCAAGGATATCACACAAAGCGAAGAGAGAGCCATTGCGGCTGCCATGGCTCGCGAACGCAACCTAGCCGAGATCGCCGCCGCCTGTGCCGAGGAGGTCAAGAGGGCCAAGCAGATCGCCGAGACCATGAAAGAGAAGCGCGAGCAGGAAAACAAGAAACTCAAGATGCAGATGGAAGAACGTCTGGCCGAAGCCGAGAGGAGAAGGGAAGAACTCCGTAACCGCAACGCTGCCAAGGTCAAGTGCAGGGAGCGCGGTCAGAGTCTTGTCACAAGGAAACCCACCTTGGTCGAGGTCATGCCCGAGGTCAAGGAAGTCAAGGAGCGCGAGTCGAGCCCCATGAGGCCCGAGGCCGCCGCCAGTAGAATTCAGTGGTGGTGGAAGTCCATGAGTCGTA